AATAATACAAACTATGCATGCTTCTTGGATTTATGCAGTATGTTTGAAAAGAACTGTTGCCTCTATTTAAATGTAGATAGTACATTCACTTATTGATGTTCCGATCAATAAAGACCTAATATTGCAAAACATGCGACACAATAATTGAAGAATTTGTTTTCTTTCTGACGGCCTGTTCAGTAGCCTGTTGCATCACTGGATGCCTCTGGGGAGCTGGTTTTAGGTGTCAGCATTTTAAAAAGCACATTCTGAAGATTAACAAAAGGTGGTATGAAAAAGTGAAATTGGCATTTCTAGAGGCATGCACAACATTTTGTTTTAGATGATTTTGCCAATACTAGCAGTGCTGCTCAAGAGTTTTTCTTGGATCTCTCTGAGACTATCAATTTTATCCTTCAATATTGGTCTAGAGGGTAGAATAAGCTCGAGATTTAGATTGAAACCTCAAATATGTATGCAAATGTTCACACCTTTTGATAGTATTGCAGTATTCTTTCATGAACTGAGAAACATTCCTTGATATCTAAATGTTGTTGTAAATATTTAATTGGTCATGTTTCATCATGGACACACAAAAAAAGGGATTTCAAAACTTTTCATAAAATATTTTCAAAATGCAATAGTTAAAATTACTATATCCACTGTCTAAGGTCCTGATAGATACTGGTTTCTTTGTTACTGGCAGTTTCAACTGAAAGTGAAATAATTTTGGACAGTAATATTTACCTTGTAGGTCTGAGCCCCTGCAGTCCCAGAACTGAATATTTGCCTTTTTGAGTGACAGAGATTGTAGTTTGATGTGGCTGTTCACATCTTTACATTTCTATGGGTTTTAGTGTCTACCACAGAGTTTGATGTTGTCTGAACATCGTAGTAGAAAAATGCTTCTGACAGTAGCTTTAAACTTTGGAAGGATCTGCATTTATATACATCAGCAGCTTTATTCTGCAGTAGGTAAATATGTAAATGCAGAAGTTAACTAGCAGTGATTACTGTCTGTGCCGTACCACTCTTCCTCAATTGTATTTCTTCCTCTTCTGAATGGAGTGTTTATTTTGTGATGAGCTTAGGTGGGGTACATTTGCAGTCTTCTGCATGTCTGTGCTTGATGCATTGGTTTTGCCATTATGCTGCAGATCGAAATTTAGAAGCAGAGCCAGAGGCTGATGTTCCACTACTGGCTATCTGTGGAAGAAAGTCTTTGTTACCTCTCCCCAACACTACCACAGCTCAATGTTGCCTCAGAAAAACTCTGGGAACTACTATTTGAATTCCATGATTATCTTCCAGGGGTCTTGTTACGTTATCAGTGTCATTCATTCTTAAAGAGTTTATAGTTGATTGTTCCTCCATAGCTGTGCCATAGTGGCATTCCAGTGTCTTTTACTAAGATGCTAGACCTCAGGGATTTAAATACCTTTACAAAAATGGTGTTTAAGTGCATATAAAATTTTTACTTAGACTTTCTGATGTGAATTCCTGCTTGTTGTTCTGCCTTCCTTACAGTGCGTTGTCGGAGAGAAACATTGCTCTTCCAAGTCTTGGGACTTTTATATCTGAAAATCTAATGTTCATAATTGTCTTAACAAGCATCAGATCCAGAAAACACATCCTGTTAGAAAGAAAAAGAAGTATGTTTATATATGGTTTGCTAGGATATCAGTTTCATTCCTTATAAGCAAGAAAGTGTGTGTATTAGAGTGGACCCCAGTATAAAATTCTTCTGCAGACAGGTTCAAACTCTTGGGGTTTTGACATAAATGCATGTTTCAAAAGATGGAAAGGAACATGTGAGAACTAAGAACAAACCTTGCAGAACAAATCTGCAGCCTTCATCCCTTCCATTGGTTTGCTTGCTTTTTCATTCGTACATATTGAGCACTTTTTCCACTTCTACATAATGCAACTGTCCCTAACTCATGCCAATAAAATATTTTACATTGGACGGTTACTGCATAGATACAGCATGTGAAATGAAGTTTCTTAAAGAAACGTTAGTCCAATTACTTTTTCCTCACGCAGGCTTTACATGATGAAAACTACAATATGTACAATAGTATGTTAGACAGGATAATTAAATAAGAATATGAAATGAAAAATACGTACAAAATAACCGGAAGACATTAACAAAGACATTTGCCTGTATTTTAATTGTACAACCTAAAGGTGGTGTTAACACATGATTATGTATTTAATTTTCTAGTTTGATTAAAAACAATTGCATGTGTTTGTTCATAGTTTAAGTGGTTCCAGTTGGCTCTTGAAGTCTTTCACTTCAGTGAAGTAAATGGGATGTGGTAGACTTGAGTTCCAATCTTCATTGCTCATTTCACTTTGACCGATGAGAATTCTGCAAGCCCAGGTTAACAAGGCTCATAGATATTAGTTTACAGAGTAGGGCTATGTAATTTTTAAAATTATCCTGTTAGAATTGATAGCTTGTTGGTATTACACAGTGTTACCATTATTGAAACAGTCTCTAGAATTGTAAGTCTTAATTTATTAGCCTTCCTTCAAAATATTTCAGAAATGACTTGGTGAATGCTGTTCAGAAAGGATTTTAGATATCATTCAGCTTTGCTAAAACTGAAGCAGATTCCAGCTTCCAAGTCTTTTTTTTCAGTTGCTCGTAACTTTTCTTTTTAGTGATCCCAGAAGCCAAGGAGGGATGCGGAGGAGATATGATCTTGCCAAATTTCTTTTGGCTGTTTTAAAAGTAATTTTGTTCAAAACGTGTTTGGAATTGGAAATGTTGAAATTACTTTCTTACTGTGTAGCAATCATTCCCAGCAGCTGGTGAAAAAAATAACCTGAAGAGTTTCTTTCCTCTCTGTTCTTTCTATTCACAGTTAAACTGGTTGAAATCTTTTGCTAACTCAGCTGACATACCGGCATTTTCAAAGACATTGTGGGAATGTCATCCACTGGCAGAACGGTGTGAATAGCTTCAAACGCTGACCTGTTGTGTGTGCAGGGGAATGTGGCACTCGTGAAGCATCACTACCTTAGGGAGGCAGCTTGGCAGTAGTTATAATGGCCAATGATGCTACAAAATTTACAAAGGCAAGCAAAGAATATTATACATGATAGAAACAGGAGGGTTATTTAGATAGGCATAATATACTGTAGTTACTGAAGTATAAATGACTGTGAAAGAAAGGGCCAGATTTTTCTCAAGCTGTGTCTGCTATATACCATACGTTGTATTTAAAGGAGACAGAATCGTGGTAAACAACTGTAGGCAGCTCACTGCAGAAGGTGGGGTTGTATGGGAGAGGAGGAGCCAGTGACATGACCAGATAGTCTTTCTGACTTGGAGAATGGGGGATGTGGCAGGAAGGAAGGAAGGAAGCTGCCCCACACCATTGGACTGACTTGCTGCTATTTTGGTCACTTGGGAATATTGGCAGTTGGCAGAAGCTGAAAGCAGCCCTAACCCCTGCAGGCTAACACTACTTTAGTAGTCTTTGTCCTTATCTGGAGTACCTTTGCCTTTCAAAGTAGTTAGTAATCAACGCCCAGAAGTAAACACGTGGTTTTTTCGAAAACCATCCTAGCTGAAAGGTGATACATTCCCAAAGACAACGCTTCTGGTCTCAGCATGGGTTGTAAATTCACTCCTGTCTCAGAGGAACGGGACCATAATTTCCTGGCTTGCCAAGTCCGTTCCCTGATTATTCCCAGCAAGTGTTGTGTAATTCTGTTCTGCAACTGAACAAGTTTTATCTAAAGCAAGGTTCGAAAAAAGTGACCCTCACAACTCAGCTGAAAGGCTGAAAACCATCTAGCTCCAGCATATATTTAGGGCAGTTTACAAAACCAGAGTTTGTTGTTATTTAGTATAAGTCACTCTGTGACGCTCCTTCACAAAGGAAATCTGGTGAGATCTTACCCTGGAGTCACAACAGTAGTTTCCCTCTTTCTGGTTTCATTTGGTCTCCCAGGGAGAAGTAATAGTTTCCCATGTGACAGTGGGAGAGGGAGATGTTCACCTTAAGGACATGCATTGAAAATAAATCTGAAACACATTTCCTTGCACATTACCCAGCTCTCTATAATTGAAATTACCCTTTGGATTGTAGAGTGATTGCAGAAAGTCTGTGAGCAAGTCTTGGGCTACTAGGGCCATCAAATGGCTTATACAGTTCTTGAGATTCATTTCAGTAGAAGGTGCAGGAAATATAGATTTAATTCCTTTATTCAAACTCAGTAGATGGTTTGGGACAATTAATTTCCAATTGTTTCCCAGTAGAGCAGATTTACTTGTATATTAATGAGGCACAGGTGTTAGGCCCCTGGTGCCTGCATGCCTGGGAGGCATATTTAGGTTGTTTATCTAGTCAGCCATAGGTACTGCAAGGTACTCAAGCTTGCCTTTAACAGTTTATACAGTGAGGCTTTTTAATTTTTTGATGTTTTTTTAAATTTGCTAGCACCTGTTAAAATTTTAAAACTGATCATGTAGAAAGAAGTAGGAGTGATTTCAATAGTAAATAGCACTAAATGTTAAAGAAAGTCATCTTCTATTACGCTTAACTGCCCAGCTTGACATTAAGAAGAAAAGAAGGTTCATTTAAGCAAATATGTCATGTGAGGAGCTAATACAGTCAACAGCATACTTTTCTGTTGCATATTTTTGGAAAAGGTACTTCTTTGTCTACAGCTGAAACATGAATGTGCTTATATTAATATTCATTTTTCTTGTTTATTCACTGAACTGCAGTACCAACATTTTAGAGGAAATGGAATAGCCTCCATAGACATTATGAATTTCAGTAGCTGGCATAATTATAGCGATCTACATATTCATTAAATCCAAAGAAGAAATGTGTCCAAAAAGACAGCCATGCATTTAGAAATGGTACACAACTAAATATATACATTAAAAAAAAGTTCCTTTCCTCTGCTTATCCAAAATTGTGTGGTGTCATATAGTCCTTAAATCAGCTAAGGCTTTTTTTGTTTGTTTAAATGTTCATTCCTTTTGCTTTTGCACGCAGTAAAGAATGGGAAGAACTATTTGTAAACAACAATTACTTGGCAACTATACGGCTGAAGGGGATTAATGGGCAGCTGAGAAGCAGCAGGTTCCGTAGTGTTTGCTGGAAGGTAAGAAGAGAAAATATTTATTTACAGTTTGTGGTTGCAGTATATCAACACATTACCTGATGCGCTGGAAGATTATTGATGCAAAGAATCATGAATTTTCCGAGAGACTTCATCCCAATGTTTTCCTACTCATTTTTATAATTCATAGGACATTTGCTAATCGCATTGAGTTGCCTTGAAGCTGAATTGTGGGTGATAGCAAAAGATTGCTAGGAAAGAATATCTTTGTGCTGGGTGGTGCATTTAGAATTGAGTGTCACACAGCCATCTCTCTTCTGAGTCTCTGTGCAGTGAAGTCATGCACTGGAAATAAAAAGGAATTTTGTCTCACAATTTATGTTTTGTGGAACTTGGGACTCCTTTGAAATCAGTCTGATGCTTCTGCTAGCAGCTTTTCCCAGTGAAATGAGAAAACGAAGACCAATCCCTCTTGTAATGACTGGACAGAGAGGGAAGACACGTCTTCCAATCTTAAAACACAACAGGTCCTCAGAGGTCTGTTACTGTGTTTTTTAAAGTTGCAGGAGAAGGAAGAGAGAAAGAAAGCAAAAGCAATACTGAGATGCTGTATAAAGTCCAAAACAATTTTGTTGCACTGGCATCAGGTCTTCTGTTCTGCGCTGTGATGCTAGAGAACACTTTTCCGAGTAGAGTTGCTGTATGTTAACCCTGATAATTTAAATTACCTCACTTGGAATTTCTCAGACTTCACTTTGGCACCTATAAGACCTATAAAAAGCAAATGAAAATACTCTCTGTATACGAATGAAACAAATTTCAAAACTGAAATTTAAGATGTGTGTATCATTGAGCAAATTTTAAAATAATGAAAATACTCTCTTCAGGAGGCCAGATGAATACATGGCACAAGCATTGTTTTACCAGTCTGCTGCTTCTTGAACCTCTAAATTAGGAAGCCATAACAAAACCTGGAACTAATAAAAGCATCAAGTCCCTCACTATCCACTAATTAAATCAAAGAGTGGTTTTATTTTAGAAATTAGGCTGCTTTTATTTGCATGTCCCGACACGGTTTAGGGCTCTGGTTTAGACTGCCTTTTTTAAAAACATTGTTTATGTTTTTGTTAAATTCTGAAATATTTAAGTGTTTTTAGTAATTTGGGAATGTATTTTGTTAGTCAATATTTACTGTTAACACTTGATATTGTGTAAATAGAAACATTTAAAAAGCCATAAAATACTGTTTTCTTCCTTAGTTTATATGCACTTAAATAGTATTTTCCAATAGGTGTTTCTTTCTAACCCTTTTTGAACAGAAATGTGAATGAACTGAGATGCAGGCATTCTCAAGGACTTTTTCCAAAATTGACTTATAATTGTCTTGCAGAATTCTAGAACATGTTTCTTTGCTATAGATTAAGATTTTCCCTTTCCATATTTCTTAGGTAGAGTATATCTCTGAGTGCTTAGTTTCTGCTCTGCATTCGTGTTTGGTTTTAAGCATGTTGCATTAACTCATCGGTGTTATGTAAATATCTTCAAGTTTTGTATATTTATTTTCATCTCTGCATTTTGATTCTGGCTTGGAAGTCTCAATCAACTTTACTGAATTTGTGACAGTTTACAGAGTCAGAGTTTGTGGCTTCAGTTGTTTTTAATGCTTTATTTCATACCATAGAACTGCTGTTGTTTCTAGCTTCTTATTTATTGACTGGAAAGTACTAAAGCCAGGAGTACATTACATATGTGCAGAGTACTTGCTCCTCCTTTCTGAGATGGTTTATGCTGTCTGGTAGGATTTATATGAAAAGCTGTGTTAAACTGATGAAACTTAATGGATTTATTTTGTTTTGTTGATAGTTATTTCTAGAAGTTCTACCCCAAGACAGAAGTCAATGGATTAAAACCACTTCAGACTTAAGAACTTCTTACAATAAGATCAAAGAAATTGTAAGTTGGTACAAAACAGGTTTTCTACTCTCATGCATTGATGTATGTATTAATACTTACAGTATAACAGAGGAGGATTTGATTTTTTTCTGTTTTCATCCAGCACATTACAAACCCTCGGAAAGCAGGACAGCAAGATCTGATAATCAACAACCCACTGTCTCAGGACGAGGGGGTAAGTTGAGCCTTGGTTCTATCAGCATAATGTCCTACTAAAATTATCATCATCATCATACTCGCACAAGTGAGTTCTTGCTGAAGAAGGAGAAATGGCAGGTGCAAAAATCTCCCTCCTAAATTTCCAAACTAATTTGTGTTAACAATCGTTCACAGGCTCTGCTGAACAACCGCACATTTCTAGGTTAATATTCTGATTTTTCAGGGCTTATCACAGGGAAGGCTGTGATGAACAAAATGTCAGTGCTGGACTGTAAGTCCAGTTTCACAGCATATCCTTTCTTTGATTGATATGCTTTTTTATTGCTGTGTTTTTTCATTTCATATGCAAAATGGCTCTAATTGAAGGAGTGTTTAACTAGTCAATATGAAGGGAATGCTGCTGACAGAAAATACTGAAGAAACCTCCTCTGGAAGACTGTTCAGCCTTGAAAGATTTTTCTCTAGCAAAACCAGAATTGTTGCCTGTCTGAGTTGTATACGTGCTGAGTTAATGTCTAGAGCACCAGGCTGCAAGATACGCATTTCTTCCAAGGTTTTTAGTTCTTTTTCTTTATACAGTTAAAGAAACAAAAGTTTATTTTCTAATCAGAAAGCAGCCAGCTGCAAAATGAGAGATCTAGTTTTTAAAGAAATACTCAAAATGTGGTAAAATTATTTTCCCTGATTTTTGTTAAGTGCAAAGCATCCAGTTCTCCTTGAAATTAATAGGATCTCCTAGCAGCTTGGTATTTTCAAAGTCATTACACTTTGAGGAGGGCTTACATGTAGATTTGGGAGCTTAATTTTAGGCAGCACTTTTCTTTATGCTGTTTTTCTACTGCATTTTGTTATACCTGAAAAGATTCTAAGCATATATCTTTAAGCCTTTCTGTCAATTGTGTTACCATTTTTGAAAATTCTTGTTCATCAAATTTTCAGAGTAACTTAAAATCATGCAAATGATTTGTGTGTCTGCATTTCAGAGATTTACACCTGGAAAGACTGTCACAGATATCTTCAGTGGTCCTACTTGTATTTTCTTTTTATTCATAAAAGGAAGCCCATGTTTTGTTTGTATTTAGTGTGGTACTCTGCTCCATATTTAATGTCGAAGGAGAGAGGGATTTGCTGGTTGAGACATGGAAGTAGTGATCATAGGCACATTGGTGGCTCTGCAGACAGTATGACTGTGCATGCCATCAAACCATTCTTGCATCCAACTGGAAGAAAGTTGTGTTAAATGTAAAACATTTAAAGAGTTTCTGCTGTAGTTTGTGATTTTACACAGTGGCACAAGCTCCTTTTCGCCTATGATGTCTTCAGAAGACAGAAGACAAAGGTTAACATGTCACAGTATGTGGCAGGGGATTAATCTATAAAACAAAGCCACAGGCCAAATCAGGCATAGGAATAAAGATGCCTGTGAGCCTCTGCAGTGACTTAATGTTTTACCCTTTCAGCGTCCTGGGTTTTGCTTCCTTTTCACAGTGTGGATTCTGTTTCCTTCCTCCTTTGCTCTGAGGGACCCAGGGTGGGAGCAGAGGCAGGGGAGTTTCAAAGTGTGACCTAGCTGCATGAGAAGAACTGCGAGTTAAAAAGATAGCAGTTTTACATAAGACATTGTCAAGGTTATAAATACTTTTAAAGTTTTGGGGTTATTTTCATAGTTTGTAACACAAATATAAGAGCTAATTAGCATTGTCTTTTTTTTGTTATCTTACCTTCCTTCTGCTAGATAACATTAATATGCTTTTTCTTTTCTTTCCGTGGAGTGCAAGCCACGATGGCAATGAGTTGTTTACAGGGGAGAAAGAAATTCTGGAAGTATTGTAGCCACTCTCTTTGTACGGTGTTTCATTCACTGGTGCTGCTGCTGTCTGAAAACTAACCTGCATGAAAAGACTGCTATAGATTTTGTTCCTTCTGTATTTTGATCAATATGAACAAGCTACCATCCCTTTGCAATAAAGAATAGGCTTTACAATACTTTTTCTGGAACATACAAACAACATTTGCTGACTGCTTTCAGGTTAGCTTTCTCAAAATACTGGTAAACAAGGCATGGAAACCAAAGAAAGAGAAAGGAAATGGTCATAGGCACAGATGTAGAAGAAGCTAAACCTGCTTCAAACACTTTTATTTAATTTTCTTTTAATGTTGACAGTGAGCTTGAAATACCCTGGTTTTGCCTATTGGAACTTCTTTAGAATGGCTGGTCTTGATCTGCACTAGGTATATGTACCGTTAGAATAATGTCATTTTCATAATAGGTATTTGATCATCATATATTCCTTATTCGATTTTGCCTCCACTAAGACAAACTAGCTTACTTCCAAGAAATTTCTTATTATGGAAGTTATAGCAACTTCCAGTTAGGGTGCGTACATTCGTAGGAGAAATACAGTACAGTATGGTGATACAGACCTTTTCCCGTGAGTGAACTACTGAATTTTTCAGTTGAGCTGCTGGTTCTGGTAAGTTCAAATTTACTCTGCCTTTCAAAATATTCTTCATAGACCACTTACAAGTAACTGACAGACCTGCAGCCATCCAGTGAGTGAACGGAGTGAGCCAAGGACAACAATCCATGAACTTGAGTGTTTTCATCTCAGATCTAAACTGACAGTCTCAGATACGGTGGGCTGGTCACCAACTATCTTTTTCACCCATAAAATATTGATATACCTAGCTACCAGGAATGCTGAGGATTAATTAGTTAATATTTGTACAGTACTTTGCTGATGTAGTATATAAGCCTGAAGTAGAAGTCCCTGTTTCATACAATTATTTTTCCTTATTTCAGAGTCTTTGGAATAAATTTTTCCAGGATAAAGAGCTTCGAACAATGATTGAGCAGGATGTGACAAGAACGTATGTAGATCTTTAAAGAAAATTCTATATATAGATTTGGATTCTGCGTTTTTATGTGGTATACGTTATATTGTGTTTTCTTGACTTCAGTTAGTGTAAATGTCAGGATTGTTGAAAATGAGTGTGTAGAAACATACATTGAATGTATAAAAATACAGCTTTCTTGGAGTGAAAAACGAGAAAATCGAGTTAAACTTTAAACCCTGGAGATTTATTGGTATCATTGAAGGAAAGCTCTTTGAAATTAAGATATTGGGACAGGTATTACTGTGTGAAATTTAAAGCAGAGTTTTCCATATGAAGCAAAGAGAAGGTAAGAGAAACTGAAAGGTCTTTTAACTAAATTATGATCATAATAAAAGATTGAACAGATTACTTTCTTTAATTCTTAACACTTATTCAATCAATAATAAAAAAGCAGTTTGTAATTAATAAGGGAAATGTCACTCATCTAGAGAAGTTAAGCATTTCTATTTTTATTTATCACTTTTCTAGCATTATTTGTCACATATGGCTTCAAATTTGTCCTAATACTACTGTGATTATGTTTTCATCTTCTTGGTCCTTAGGTCATTCCTGTTTAGGAACTTGTTTGTGTTAGAACTCTCAGTTACTGAAAGCATTTCTTTTCAGAGTGGAAGCATTGACTGATGTGTAAATCTAATTAAATACAGTTACTAGTTTACTACCATGTGAAATTTTACTATATTGCAAAAATTTTTCCGTACAACTTGAAAAAAGTGGTGATAGTCATAGATTTTACAAATCCCAAGCTCACACATTTTCATTTACAGAAGCAAAGTCATGCAGAAGAAATCATTGCTCTCTGGTTTTGGAATATTTTATATGTCCGTCCCTAGACCCATTCTTGAGTGCATTTTGCCGTGAGATGTATAATTAAAATCAGAGTATGCTTTCATGTGCATTCTCACAGATGGTATTTTTTGTTTGTTAAAGGAAACAGTTCAGGATGTTCTAAGATTAAAATATATATGTATCTAAACTATAACTGAAGAATGAAAAGTTGTGTGGAGGTTATGTTGGATGTAAGGCTGTTATTTAAAAATACGTATACATACACAAAGTCCAGGCTCTCACTCTATCAAATGGCAAAGTGAGTAATATTCACTAATATCAGTGACTGAAGACATTTCCATTTATGTATTTGTTCAAAATAATGTGTACTTGAAACAATAGCAGCATACAGTGTGTGTCGTCAATATCAAAATAAGTCAAACAATGAAGGGGCAACATTTATCAAAGTAACATGATTTTATTTGATAAACTACGTGCATTTATACATACACTTGCTGTTTGCCTAATCATAAAACATAGTGTGCAATTTAGGTATAGATAATTATCTGTAAATTATTAGTGTAAGAAGCAGTAAGCTTTACATTCCTTGTCTCTGGAATGTAAGTACCCTCTCTTTAATGTTGTCCTTTTCATTTCCATGCTTTAAATAAATTCATTAACTTACAATGCTTTTTATTAAAGGTTAAAATAATTCTTATATTCAGTTACCATAATCATTACCTTCTAGCTTCGGTTTCTTATCTAACGAATATTTTTATATTCTTTGTCATAAAGTTTGGTACTCCATCATCCAACAGCATCAGGTAAATAATGCTGTAGAGAGTGGTGCTAACGGCACAGAGTAGCAAACCAGAGTCCCATCTATGAAAGCAGTAAAAAAATTTATAACGTTTTTATTAGAAATCTCTGAAGTGTCGTAATAATAGTTGGGAAAAGTGGTCTGAGAAAGTTGGAGTTGTTCAACCTGGAGAAGAGAAGGCTCTGAGGAGACCTTATTGCGGCCTTTCAGAACTTAAAGGGGGCTTATAAGAAAGATGGAGACAAACTTTTTAGCAGGGCCTGTTGCGACAGGACAAGGGGTAATGGTTTTAAAGTAAAAGAGTGTAGATTTAGACTGGAGATAGAGAAGAAATTTTTACAGTGAGGGTGGTGAAACACTGGCACAGGTTGCCCAGAGAGATGGTAGATGCCCCATCCCTGGAAACATTCAAGGTCAGGCTGGATGGGGCTGTGTGCAGCCTGGTCTAGTGGAAGGTTTCTCTGCTGACTGCAGGGGAGTTGGACTAGATGACCTTTAAATGTTCCTTCCAACCCAAACTATTGTATGATTCTAAGAACTTCCAATATTTACAAGGGAAGTAGGGAAGGATTCTGTTAAGTTAGTGCTAACCCTTCAGTGACTAACATGTCTAATTAATCACCTGAAGTATTTTTTATGGTAGTTGAGAGATTCAGAATGGATTTTCCTTCAGCTGTCTAGAAACGTGTGCTTTTGAGCTGGATCCAAACACCATCTCTTTCTACCTCAAGTGAGAAGCTTCTGAAAATTAAGTTGAGAAGGAGGGTAAGGGAGGTTTGCCATAATGCAAGTAAGAGCCGTACTTTAAATGTGGATAGCAGTACCAACCAAGTTATGACTACAATACTGCATTCTGTTATTCTACTAAGAAAGGAAGGTGTGTATGAATTAGCACCATAGTAACTCATACTAGACTTAAGAATGCAATTATTTGTTACTGTCATTCAAAAGATGTACCAAGGAACAATGCTGATTTATTTTGTGATGATTAAGAAGTGATAAAAAGGAATTAAAAATTTAAAAAATTCAAAATTAAGTTTAAAATTAAATTTAAAATTTAAAAAAATATTCTGCAGCAATCAGTAGATTGGCGTATGCAACACCATCTAGCTATCAGTCAAATCAAAATACCATTCTCCTTGCTGGTATCACCTTGTACATCTAGGATTGTAAATGGCTAGATTTGATTACCCTCTTTCTCTCTCCAGTACTTTAAGACAACAAAATGCTGAGGAGGCATTCACAGTAGACTGATCAAGTGGATTTCTTTTCTTTTGTAGCAGTATTTTTATTGGTTTACCTAGTTTCAGGAGTAACAATACCAGCTTAAGACAATGGAAGCTGTGTGAAGATGAGTAGTGGTAGGTGCTGCAGTTTCAAACTCTCCATCTAGCAAATAACAAAAACAAAAAAAAGCACCAAAAAAAAAGGTAGTGGAGAAGCCATTAGGCAGCTACATCCTTCCTAAGCATATAGAAGAGATGGGAAGAAACAGCAATCCACACAGGAGACAAAATCTAGTTTCTGTGTGAGAGGAGGGACTGCTGGAAGGGAGAGCTACCTTTATACATCAATTTAATTACTTTTTCAGAAAGAAGTTAGCAACGGGGTGGGGGGGTTACTATTATTCTTTCCCAAAATTTTGCAGCTGCAAAAGCGTCTGCCATTTTTTCTGGTTTAGTAGCTTTCCCCATTCCAGCTGAGTAGCAGGGCTGGGGAATGGCAGGGGGGGGAATCTGTTCATCAAAGAAAAGATGCTCACTTCGTGGCTCTGGTTAAGAGCCTCATTTTTGTCTGCCACCAGATTTGTTTCATAAAGTAGTTGTGCATCCTTTTATTTGGTTGCCAGCCTAAGTTTCTTCTGTGTCAAAGTTTGGCTGCCTCTGGTATAGGGGCCCCTGAGTGGGGTAAAGGAATGTTTTAGACAGTGGTAACTAACTCACACTGGTCTTCACTTTCGGAAAGCAGTGACTTGAATGCGCCCTTGTTTAATTATAGCAGTTGTGGTAAAACAGTCTAGTAAATTCCCATGTCCTTATGCAGTCTTTCTCAGAAATGTAATTAAATGCAATATTCTAGTGTTTGTGAAAAGTATTCGTACCTTGCCTGCTTTGAGGATACTAGTGCTTTAATCATAAAATGACATTCTCCATAAAAATCCATCCTGAACTGATAGTTCCCTCGTGATCTCTTGTATTTACATTTACTATAATTAATACTTCAGCCAGCTTATTCCTGAGTTCTTTATTATCCTTTCCGTCACAATCTGTGGTATTGCTAGATCCTCACAGATACCTCTGTGTATTTCTGAGTTTTCTTTGTTAGTCTTCTCTTCCTAAACTTCATAGGGCAGGCTTGAATAACAGTCCTTCAGAAATAATCTCTTCAAACCCCTAAATTATGTCGATTGCCATCTGCTGTAATGCACTTTTGGTCTCAGCTGTGTCCTTCCCTTACAGTAATATGGTTAGTACAAGTGCATACAAGTTTCCAAATGTTGGTCTACCATTACCCCCACCAGGTGCCAGGAAAACATTATGCCCCTCATTCCAATGCCTTTGTCAGGACTTCAGCATTGCTGCATTTAAGCCACGGTGTCTCCTCTGCCTTGTCTCTTGATTCATGTCCTTCATCCAAGGATTTCAAAGGACCTATCTAGCCTTAATTAGTTAAGTTTCTGTGCTTACCTGTCATCATCTCTGTGAGATGACCACAGTAATTATTAACACTAATAGTTTTAATGTGAAGTAATTTATTATAATTCCCTATATTGTTTCTCTATGACAGGCTTTACAACAGCCTTAATGCAACTGTTCTAAAGTTTAGCATTGTAGCTCAGACTTGGGAAGCATGAAAAACAAAATTTGCTTGAAGAAAACTTACCTGCAATCCATGTGATTTTATTTTAAAACTGACAATACTGTAGCCTTGATTTCAGCAATCTAGCTGGAGGCCTACCGTTGGTTTTTTGAGTATTCTTCTGTTTTTCTAACTTTACCTTTTCATTTCTTTTTAATATTGTACCTTTACAGATTTTTTTTTTTGTTTTATTTGTTCTTGCACCATGTAGCTGGATGTGGTTTGGTGTGGTTGCTTCAGGAAACATTTTTTGCTGTCTAGTTACTTCTTCAGTAAGCATCAAAACACTTTTGTTTGTGCACTTACTCATTAAAGTACATACTGCATAACCACTGTATTTCCTACCTCCGACAGTCAAGGAGCAGGATGCACAGATGAGAGTTGCTTCAGAATAGTTACAGGTTGTAAATATTTACACTTTCCTGGATTATACACAGATAACAGGATTTTCTCAGAAGCTTTTTGCACTTATTCTCACATGAGGTCCACTTCATTCTATTTCACTTAAAGGATATTTGCCCTGCCAGACTATCAAATGATTTCATAATTGTAAAGCTATTAAAGACAGTGAGATACCTAATTCTGTTGCTTCACAAAAGGTCTAAGTAAGATATATTGGAGCTTAGGATACTCATTTTCATGCCAATTGTGCAATGTTTTAATAATCTTGTCATTAAAATGCTAATAATTTTTCAAATGTTCATGAAATATTGAACCCTTGTGTTCTTCTGACATACTCTTCTTTGTTCCATTTTATTCCAGTTTAGAGCTGCAAATTTTACGAACTTCCTTAACGTATTGTAGCTCTTGTACTCTTCCTTTGCCCAACTTTTATCTTGAGAAAAATGAAGAGCAGGGTTAAGTGTTGTTCATGAAACTGCAGAGCAAACTGCTGATCCAGTTACAGTTGCCAACCTAACACAGATAAGAAAAAAGGGAGCATGTCATGTATGTTTTTTATCTATGGAGATTTGATCTTTGATGCTTTTTTTTCCCATTACCTGAATCAATTTAATCAATAGATATCTGTTTGCAACACTTTTGGTGTTAAGTGACTTGGTTTTTTGAGAGGAGAGAAGAAGTGTCTGCTTGGATTTTTTGATCACGCTCCTTTTCTAAGTGTTCCTAGCCAGTGTTGGATTGAGTGGTGAAGAATTGATAATCGATGGAGCGCAGTGTTGGAGTTGAGTTACTATTGGGATGCTGTGCCACCTGGGACCAGAGTGGTCTTCTGGGCTGCTAGGTTTGGCAGTAAGAGTCTGCGTGCAGGAGGGAGAGGCTGGATCTTTGCTTCAGTCATTGCTTCTCGGTCTGTCTCCTCTCATTCTGCTTCAACTCAACTTGTTTTCATGACATGGAGGTGCAAAGGAACATGATTCTTTAGGCAGGAACATGCTCATATGGTACATCATTTTGTTTTGATTAGATTTTCCAAGTCATTAATTTTCAGTCGATTGGCTGTTTGTAAGAAGTTGACGATTAAAACAATCTGCCATTGTATTTCACTCTTGCAGATCTCTAGTTTTCATAATATTAAAAGGGATTACTTATTTAAATATAACTGATGATATCATCATGTCTATGTAGTGGACTGATGTATATTAAAGAACATGGTTCAGAATTTTGGTTGCAAAACAAATATAACAAGTCTTTAGAAGTATTCTTACTCTTGCAGCACACACAACTCACAAAGCGGTGGGAAAGCAGACAAAGAAGGTGCTGCCTTACCTAAAAGCATTTCTAGAAGAGCAGTGACTGAGATTCTGTGTGCTATATTGTTTACTTTCGCTGTATTTCTTCTTTTTCAGCTTTCCTGAAATGCAATATTTCCAGCAAGAGAATGTGAGGAAAATTCTTACAGATGTTCTGTTCTGCTATGCCAGAGAAAATGAGCAGTTGCTTTATAAACAGGTAATGAAAATACTGTACAGGTGGCATTCATTGACTCAACATCTTCTATACGGTTTGACAATAATGTAGTTCTGTTGTATCTGAAGTTGTATCATAATGCTAAAGTAATCAAAGAGCTGCTTGTCAGCTGGATAGTAAGAAGAGTAAGATCATTGAATAACATATGCTTTTTCCTCATAAGACAGTCCCTCAAATTGTTTTCTTCAAGGTTGCTGAGTTGTCTAGCTTCAACTTTCTTAATAAACAACATCTTTTTCTTCAGTGTTGGTTAAGAAAGAAAAAGCAAAGAAAAGGTTTTCTGTGTTTAGGTAAAGAAAGTATGCAGCAGGATTAAAAATGGTACTGAATAAACACAAAACATAAATAGTGACTTTTGAAATTTAGGCAAAGTTACTATTTTAAGTTTTATGTGATATTTTAAGTTCTTCCTCGAAGTGTTAAAGCCATGTGGTAAGTTATTGAATAGAACTTTTGTCTAACCCTGAAGCATCCAAATACAATGCAGCTGAGAAACACCTCTTGACTGAAGGATAAGGGTGCTACAAATACCACTTTTACAGCGTTACCTGGAGGAGAGCCTGCTCAAACCTTTTTTGATCAAATGGTGAAGAAAGCCTTAAAGCTGCACTAATTATGCATCCATATGGGATGCGGGCTAAATTAATTTAATATTTGTTCGAAAGGTTTTGAAGTGAGTATAGGCTTGATACTAAATTAATGTAGCAAGACCAATATGCAGAGTTACCAACATCAGTATATTTATAGTTGTTTCTCCAGGATGTTACCTGTAGGGTGAGTAGGGACTGACAGACTGAGGGATACCGTGTGCATGAACACAAGATAAACTAGAGTGGCAAACTTCACATAGACAAAAAACATTTAATGACAAAAATACAGAGGTTCAGCAAATGTGAAGATTTTTAAGACACACTGTATGCTTTCAGGCATGGTCTGTGACCACCCTGTCCTCAAGCCAAGAAATTAGTGGTGCTTCATGAAAAGACCAACACATACAAGTTGAAGGAGCAAACAGTTACTTCTGAAGAACTGTCTTTCAGATTATATCAAAAAACAATTATATAGTTATCAAACATATCAAATCTCCATCAGCTGGATGTTTCTCATGTTTGACGGACTGTGAGCAAGGAAGGGTCTTGCATGATAAAAAGAAAAAAATAAGATTTGAGCTGTAAGAAAAAGAAAACACTTCAGCAGTATTCAGCCTCCCATTTCTCGTGAATATAGGCTGGAGTACTGATGATGGGAACGTGGAAGAACACATTCCAGCTAATTTAGTCTATCATTTATTGAACAAGAAGTATTATTTTACTCTTTGATACGACTTTAAAGGACTTAATTACCCTCTGCTCATACTTAAAATCTTCTTGATTCTTTACCAAGAAATAATACCTTTCTACATGAGGATGGAATATTTAGCCAGATCAAATTTAAAAAAAAAAAAAAAGCCCTGAGTTTCATCACAAGCTGTTAAAGCTATTATTTTCTACTAGGTGACACCCCGTTTAACATAGACCATATTGTTAATAGTTATGGGATTTTATTGAATTAATGAGACTGTTATCATGTAGTAGAATGTCTTGCTGAGTTAATTGAAACTGCAGAGATTATATAAATGGTATTAATGAACTTTGACTGCCTGATGCCTCAGCTTTAATAAAGACTGCTTGGTGGGCTAAATGAACATAGGCAGATAAAAGAACAGGTTCAATTTTGCGAGCCTACAGGCTGTTGACAAAGAAAACTTCTTTACCTCTGTTTTCAACTGGTGTTGCATCAGCAGTGCAGTAATTTCAAGATGGGGTTGCCACAGGATTAAAGGGAGAGGTGAAGTGCAGAAAATGGAAAAAAATTGGATCATGAAAAACTATTGATTTAACCTCTCTGAAGTGTGTTTGGTGTATCACCGAAGTCTTGTGGTGCTGTGCCAACTCCACAACACAGCAAATGATTGTGGGTTTCCTTTTTGTGGAGATGTGTCACTTGTATTGGGAGCTTTCCTTTTTCCTTACCTCATTTTAGAAGGGTGGGTTTGTTTGTTTGTTTTTAATTAATGCTTTTATTAGCTTATTAGTAACAATCTTGCTTTTATTGTCTGCGTGTCCCCCTCTTTTTAGATGACGTTTCTTTCATGTCCATCAGTATCCTTCTTTGCATTAGCTAACGGGAAGTAGTTTGTGGTGGTGACAGGATAGGGTTTTTTTTCTTTCTTTTAGCAAATATCTATGTTGCAGTCAGTCGTCCTGTCCTACTGCTTTTATTGGTTCTCAGTTTACCATTGACTCAAACCCCACTTACCATAATAATTTCCACGACGTCAAACCCTAGCATATTTTCTTGCAAATACTGAAGGTTACCCTTAATTCATCAATAAGAGATCACCTCCAAGCTGCTCTCTCCACAGTGACCTGAATACAAAGCCCTAATTAAGGTGTTTGTCTTCATATTCGATATCCATCACGGGACTGGTCCTGTTGTTCTTGGTGAGAATTCCTCTGTCTCATTTGTATGACCACATACAAGAGCTACATTTGCAATAACAATTGTAACACATGGCCAATACATGAGAATTTATACTTCTGTTTGTCAATATCTATACAAAACCTGATGTTTCTCTTTCAAACTGTTTGGAAAACGTTCTAGTTCCTTGACATTTTGCATCCTTATCAATGTAAATAAATTGTATCTGTAGTTTGCAACATTTTATTCAAACTATTACATAGCATCAACATAGAATCTTACAACAAGCAATCAATAATGTTTGTTTAATATGCATATATGCATGAAAGTTGTCTTTGTAGTAGGGTTTGTGGTTTTTTGACCAGCGTGAAGTAACATTTTATTTGATGAGGAAAAAGATATTTCTGTCCCTAGTCAAATGGAGCAGAATGTTGTGAAGATATATTACAGATTTTAAAGACAGAATCCTCACTGGGATCATTGAATTTTTAAATAGCAGCTGTAAATAGAAAATCTAAAGAGAATAGTATATTGTACTTAAGAATATGTAAAAATTACTCTTAGCATTCTTCTGTAAGAGTGCTGCCAAAATTCTGGTCCTAGTTACACCAAGCAGAAATAGTGACAATTAAGCTAAATCACTAGGCTAACTATTGTTTGTTCATGATTTGATTGCCCGTAGAGAAGTCAATATAATTTTGAAATGCATTGATTCACTTTTCATTGTAGAAATGCTGTATTTCTGGTTTTCTTTCTAAACCATAGACTGTATTATGAAATCAATATTTTGTTGTAGCTGGGAAGTGTCATAAAATTATCTGAGCTCTGTCAACTTATTTATTAACACTAAAAAGTTTTAGTAAACTGCAGCATTGAAAAAATATGTGTATGCATATCATACTGGTGGCTTTTCTTGCCAAGCTAAAAATCTCTAAACATTTGAAGTACTCTTGTAACTGAAAGATCAGAGGTATCTTTTTGAAATCCTGATATTTCATCATCTTTTTGTTTTGTTTTTGTTGTATGTGGGCAGCCACATTATGATTCTACTTTATTATAAATTTGATATATTATTATGTTGGAAGAATGCATGATGTGCTTTTATCTTTTATAACTAATTCTTATTTTATGTCCTCTTTCTTTTTCTTCAGCATATATGTTTACAGCTTAGGTGGTAGTTTTATTAGATAGTCAAATTTCTGGCATTTCCATTTCTCTTATTTCATGTTAGTGTATCAGTGTGAATAAAAGATTAGACGTGGAGCTGTTAATTAACTGAGGGTTGTGAGTATGTATGGAAGTACAACCCAGGTTATCTACAGTTTATTTAAATATTTTTGCCACTTATATTTATTGTCTAATCCTGGACCTATCTCCCTGTTTCTCCTATTCCTTTCCCCCTTGGTATGACTGTAAGACTTTCAGAAATCTAAAATTGTCAGTTTGTAACCTGACCCATATTCTTGTGTCTGGGAATTTTACATCGGCTCCTGAAATCAAGGGGCTACACTGAGTTTAATCTTTTTTCTTCCTAACTGAGTTTCTCTTTAGCCTTCATCTTTTGAAGTAGTCCCTAAAGGTTCAGAAACAGGAAGAGAAAGAAAAACCTCCAAACTTCAGTAGTTTTGCTCTCTTTAGCTTTGCCCAGTCAACTGACTGCTGTTGCTGCAACACTACATTTGAAGCTACAATGATCATCTCAGTCATGCAGAAATTAAAATAAAATTTCCTGGTATTTCAGTTGATAGCACACAGAGAAATTTCCAAAGCTCTTTTTTTTTTCTTCAACACTGGTAGGTATTAGAATTTCCTCTTATGAGCAGATAAGATTCGCTAACCTGCATCCAAGCACCCTCAAAATAGATAATGATCTTAGAAAGGGCTTCCACATCTATCTGTCTGCTCAGTCTGGATCACTTAAGGAAAATCCTCATTATTTCTAGTAGAAGTTAAAGGTTTTTAGTAGTTAGTGGATCTGTTTGATACATATGAAGCTGACAAGCTAACTCACTGGTACTGAATACCCCTCAAATGCTACGTGGAGTATCAAGTGATATAGCAGCAAAGCAGCAGGGTAGCTGCACGAGCATGTGACTCTTTCATTGCTCACATCTGTCCATCACCAAAAGGGCTGGAGAAGCAAGCGGAGAGGCTTCCTAGCTTGGAAATGCAAGCACAGAAGTAGAACAGCTCCTGACTGGGGATGTATCATCTGACTCCTGGCAGCAGCCTGAAATGCCTGTGAGTTTGATGGGCCGGCCCCAGTACTCCTTCTGCTAACAGGATAGACAAGATGGCCTTCCTAGCAGCCCTGTCTGCCCAGAGCATGCACCTGAAGCTCGGACTGAAGGTACACTTCGTGAAGCAGCTGTGACTTTGCAGTGGAGCACTTCTGGCAGCACATGCTTCCCTCTGCAGCCAGGGCAAGGGCTCCACCCAGGGCGAGCCCCAGCAGGGGTAGCCAGGGTGACTGGCACCAAGTTGCGGCTGTAGTTGGTGGTCTTGGTCTGAGGTCAGGAGTTCCCTGCCCTTGGAGCGATCCCTGCATCCAGAGGCAGCCAGGCGGGTCTCAACCCTTCATCCCACATCCCTTCCATCACTGAAGGACTCCCCTCGCTTCTTTCATATGGCTGACCCACACCCTAGCCCTGAAGCTTGTGTAGTGCCTACCTGTCGTCCTAGTCCACCACTGGGAGCCCAACTTCCCTGACATAACCACATTCCCCAGTTATCCTCCTTTTCCTTGATCTAATCTGAGGGAAGGGGTTGAATATCTGCTGAAGGTGAGGTTTCATTCTGCAGGCTATAGTTTTACCTGCCAGTGTGTTGCTGCTTGCCAGCTGGATTGCTTTTTTCCTGAAGCGGTTGCTCCTGCTTTTAATAACAAATTGACAAGCCCCAGGTGAATCAAGGCAAATCAAGACTCCTTTTTTGTTCCTGATGAGCTTGGGATAAAAACACCAATGGCTGT